TTTTACTTGGTAGTGTTTTACTTGTTAGTGTTTTACTTGGTAGTGTTTTACTTGTTAGTGTTTTACTTGTTAGTGTTTTACTTGTTAGTGTTTTACTTGTTAGTGTTTTACTTGGTAGTGTTTTACTTGTTAGTTTACTGGTTAGTGTTTTACTTGTCAGTGTTTTACTTGTCAGTGTTTACTTGTTAGTGTTTTACTTGGTAGTGTTTTACTTGTTAGTTTACTGGTTAGTGTTTTACTTGTCAGTGTTTTACTTGTCAGTGTTTACTTGTTAGTGTTGTATGTCGGGAATCACATCTTTTGCAGACGGAACCAGATCACGGATTTTATGTAATGTGTTGAAACGGACCTGGATCTTGTGTTTATTCAAGATTTTGGAGATCTTTTTTGTGATCCCAGCAATGTAGGGTAAAGTGATGGTTTTGAAAGGCTCCTCAAGAGGGTTCTTCTTCATGGTTTGAGTGATAGCTTTGCGGATTGTATAGTCGGAGTAACCATTAGCCCTAAGAGCTTGGTGTACGTGCTTGAGTTCACTGCTTATGTGTTCCTGGTCGGATATGCATTGGGCTCTATGATACAGAGTCTTGATGAGAGAATTCTTCTGTGATGGATGGTGGTGGGAATCCGGTTTCAGATAAGCATCCGTATGGGTAGCTTTCCTGTAGACAGAGTGGCTCATTGAACCATCAGGTCTCTTTTTAATTAGGACATCCAAAAAAGGTATCTTGCCATCTATTTCGACTTCCATGGTAAATCTGATGGCTGGGTGTATGGAATTGATGTGGTCGAAGAATTGGTCTAGAGCAGGCCGGCCATGTGGCCAGATGACAAAAGTGTCGTCCACGTACCTCTTCCATAAGGTTGGGCGCAGAGTGGCAGTCTGGATGGCGTCAGTCTCAAATTTCTCCATGAAAATGTTAGCTATAACTGGAGAAAGGGGGGAGCCCATTGGGGTGCCCTCAGTTTGTTTGTAGAAAGTTACATTCCAAGTGAAGTATGTATTGGTTAAACAGTGTCTCACCAGGGGGGGTACCTCAGTGTTTAGTCCTTGATGAACCAAGTCTTCAATGATTGCAATGGTGTCAGGTACAGGAACCTTGGTGAATAAGGAAACTACATCAAAACTGACAAGCAGGTCGTCTGGGGACAGGGAAATACCCTTGATTGTCGATACCAGGTGAGTAGAATTTTGTACCGCAGAGGTGGTCTTTCCAGTGAAAGGACGCAGGATTTCAGACAAAAAACGAGCTAGTTTGTAGGTGGGGGAGCTGATAGTAGAGACTATGGGACGAAGAGGTGTATCTACTTTATGTATTTTTGGTAAGCCGTATAATCTTGGTGGCCTGGCAGCAGAAGGTTTCAACGAAAACTGTTTAGATTGATCAATTAATGCGGTTGAATCAGAAATTATTTTGTTGGTTTGTGTGACGAGGCTGTTGGTGGGATCTCTTTTTATTTTTGTATAACTACCATCGTCGAGTAATTCTTTAATTTTGTTGTTGTATTCTATTTTATCCATGATGACAGTAGCATTGCCTTTGTCAGCTGAGAGGACTACAATATCATTCCTCTTTTTTAATTTATATAATTCAAAACGCTCATCTTTGCTGAGGTTGCTAGCTGGCATCTTAGCATTTTTGAGGGTTGCAGCGATTTCAGATCTTGCTACGTCTGCAGCGATGTGACCCAGGCCCCTGAGAGCAACGTCTACTTGGGCAATTATATCATTAACTGGTATGTGTTTAGGTGTGACTGCAAAGTTTAGACCTTTAGCTAAAACGGATTTCAGACCATCGGAAATAGAACTGTTACTGCGATTAATTACGACTTTATTAACGTCTAACTTTTTGGTGTGTGGGTCCGGTCTTTTGTTGAAGAGGAGGTTAAATTTGGAAATCAGGTTTTCCTTACATTTGGTCGACATAGTAACAGCTGAAGAGGCAGTCATATTGTCTACATGTTCCCAATCCGATGTGGTCATTATTGCCGTCAATGATAAGTGTGATTTGTAGAGTGTCTTGTCTAACTGATCTAGTTCTGTGCGTATAAGTTTGATTTTTTCTGAGATAAGAGCTAAGCTAGTTTTGAAAAGAATTCGTTTCGCATTAGAAGAAGTTACAGCAGCAGAGGTCAGTGTAAATGCGATTGGTATTACCCCAGAGTCGCGGCATCTCTTCAGGAAGGTGAGAGACTCGATCAGCTGAGCTTTCTTATCCCGGAGTTTGTTGAAGGATCTTAAAGTTATGTGAAAACCCTCCCCGTAGAGGCGATTAAATTTTGATTTAAAGCTTTCGTGACTGCAGTAATTCATATTCTTAGTTTTTTCGGTAAAGTCACGTTGAAGAGAAACAACAAAATAATAAAATATATATAAAACAATAAAAAATTCTCACGACGTTTCGACCATAACTCAAACGGTCATCTTCAGGTGTGTTGGTTTGCATAAATTTATTTTTAAACGGCGCATTTATTTATTTATAAAAAACGTTAGCGTCACGCGCAGCGATTTGGCAGTTTACCCAGGACTAGTCCATCTATATTCTGAAAAGAGGAGGGGGGAGAAACGAAATTTTTTATAATGTATGCTGTCTGAAAGCCACTGTAAGCGTGAACAATCAATTAAGAACTGAAATGGTTTATCAAATCTTTCCAATGATTGCTAAGATATAATCCATCTTCTCGGTTGAAATTGTCTCTGTGCTTGTATATGTGGATAGCCTCATGAACGAATCTCTCATGGAAGCCAGATGGCTTGCAAAGAACCTCTGTCTTGGAAAAGTCAATGGCATGTGAGCCTACTGAATTAGAACAATGATCTGCCACAGCCGAGGTGTTGGTCCTACCGTGTTTAAGGTCTGCTTTGTGTTCACGAATGCGGTCCGAGACATGTCGTTTGGTTTCTCCAATGTAACTACTACCACAGAGGCAACTTAGTTTGTAGACACCATGGTACTGTATGTCAGAAATCACATCTTTTACAGACGGAACCAGATCACGGATTGTATGTAATGTGTTGAAACGGACCTGGATCTTGTGCTTATTCAAGATTTTGGAGATCTTTTTTTGTGATCCCCGCAATGTAGGGTAAAGTTATGGTTTTGAAAGGCTCCTCAAGAGGGTCCTTCTTCATGGTTTGAGTGATAGCTTTGCGGATTGTATAGTCGGAGTAATCATTAGTCTTAAGAGCTTGGTGTACGTGCTTGAGTTCACTGCCTATGTGTTCCTGGTCGGATATGCATTGGGCTCTATGGTGCAGAGTCTTGATGAGAGAATTCATCTGTGATGGATGGTGGTGGGAATCCGGTTTCAGATAAGCATCCATATGGGTAGCTTTCCTGTAGACAGAGTGACTCATTGAGCTTCAATGAAGCTCTATCGTCCCGACAGGTTTGTTCCTTTCACCTGAAGAAGGCCACTTGTGTTGTGGCCGAAACGTCGTGAGAATTTTATTGTGTTATTTTATTATTTTATTCTAATTTTATTTTATTATTTTATTCTCATTTTACGTGACTTTACTGAAAGAACCAAAGAAGTGTTTTACTTGTCAGTGTTTTACTTGTTAGTGTTTTACTTGTTAGTGTTTTACTTGTTAGTGTTTTACTTGTCAGTGTTTTACTTGTTAGTGTTTTACTTGTTAGTGTTTTATTTGTTAGTGTTTTACTTGTTAGTGTTTGACTTGTCAGTGTTTTACTTGTCAGTGTTTTACTTGTTAGTGTTTTACTTGTCAATGTTTTACTTGTTAGTGTTTTACTTGTTAGTGTTTTACTTGTTAGTGTTTTACTTGTTAGTGTTTTACTTGTCAATGTTTTACTTGTTATTTTGTTGTTTCTCTTCAACGTGACTTTACCGAAAAAACTAAGAATATGAATTACTGCAGTCACGAAAGCTTTAAATCAAAATTTAGTGTTTTACTTGTTAGATTTGAGAGGTCAGCGATATGTTGCAACAAATTTAAACATTTTACTGTCCGAAATGATTGCTTCTGTTGAGGGGTTCGCCGGTCATTGTTGTGCAATGGGCCCTTGCGCTCTGTCCATCCGTCCGTCCATCCGTCCGTCCATCTGTTCTTTAATTCGTTCGTCTGTCTATCCATGTGTTGCTCCGTCCATCTGTTCATCCGTTCGTGTGTCCGTCTTGTCTGTCCATTGATAATGATGCGTCCTTCACATGAAATCCATCAGTGGCTGCTGCGGCGGTTGAGGTTGTCCTGCACTCACCCACCGACTGACTGCGGTGTGCATACACCCACATTAAAATCCCTGTTTACCCAAACGTCTTCTCAGTTGTCCACTAATCGCGCATCCTTACCAAGCACGTAAACCACATGGTCCCGCTGCTGCCCGCCGCACCCGTCAAGCCGCTGGCAGCCTTCTCGGCAACTTTGATGTGAACAGACCTAGTCGGTGAATTATCCTTCTCAAAATATCCAACGTTCGGCACTTAAAGGGGACATGGTTTTTTTGGCCAGTGTTTTGCTGCTAGTGTTTGTTTTGATACTCGATTGGGCCAGGTTATCGTCGTACAATTGTGATGATAATAGCAGCAGCTGCAGCAGCAAGAGAGACAAGAAGCAGGGACTCGCTGCAGGAGGAAATGCAGAGAGGGGGCGGCAGCATGCGATCGTTGTTGGAGAGTGGCTGTGTCACAGCTGGGCACAAGTGCAGCCATTTTGTGTCAATCCACTGCTGGATGAGGAGTGAGGGCTTCTCCACGCCATGGTGCACACGGGGGGGTTATTTGACCATAGTTCACAGCGCTGGTCAGTGCGGGTTCGGCAAAGGCAGAAAGAGCATTGGTGTGGGACATAGAAGTACAGTACAATGATTGATTTTGCTACACTTCCGCTGTGCTGCCCACCTAACAAAGCCTCGAGGGTCGGTGTTTGGTGCCGCCATTGCCACCGCCGCTAGGTTTGATCTAGGACGCTCACGGCCGCGCGTCTTAAGAACGAGTGTGGTGGTCATGAAGTGAATCCGCATCGTCTGCCTTGTGTCTCGCAGGAGGAGAAATCTGTCAACTGTGAGCTGAAGCAGGAGGAGGATCAGCCGATAAACTCTCTCAAGTGCAGCATCAGGTTCCCCTGCATGAAGGCGCGCACCAAGGTGACTGCCCACCCCTCGCGCGCACGTGGGGGTCACTCCCGAGTCAGGGAGTTTTCCAAACTCCCGACGGGCACCAGACGCGCGAGCGAGTGCTGTGGAGGATTTTTTTTTATTTAATCAGGTAAAGTCCACTGAGATATGTAGCTTTTTTTCAAAAGCGACTTGGCCACAAATGATAGTTCAACGAAGTTGCTTATCGTGTGGAAATGTATTACAGCCAAATCAACGCATGATGTTGATTCTAAATGTGGAGGAAAAAACTGGAGGACTCGGAGAAAAATTCACACGACCACGGGGAGAACGTGCAAACTCCGAATATACGGGTGTCAGGGTCAGGCTCAAACTCACGACCTCCTGCATACCAGGCGAGATAGTTAACATCGCGCCACCGTGACGCCCCGGCGTTTGTGTCGATCCCTTGAAGGCATCCAGCGAAGGATCGTTCGGCTGAGGACCCCCGACAAGAAAACGAAATGTGATCGACTGCCTTCTCAGAGCGGGGGCTCCGCGAGTTTGCATCTAATATCTCAAAAGCCGTGAGATTTAGGTCGTGAAAATACCACAAAAAAGTTTAAAACCGAGACGGCCGTCCCATGCGCTCGTCCCCCACGCCTCGCCAGGGCTGGGCTGTGGCACGGTGACATCGGCGCCACCACGGTGCTCCGCGTGCGCCGGCTCCTGCTTTCACCGTTCTCCCCAAGGCGAGGGGGACGCTGCCATCCCGGTGTCCCGGTCGGCGTGCAGGGCTCGCAGTCCAGAGGTGGTCCCGGTTCAGTTCGATTGCCCAGCCCCACGGTGGAAACGATGGTGCAAGTTTCTTAAGTCAACTCCCTGGGCTTTGTCCATCCAGCAGTGTGAGTGGGTACAGCCACAGTTGATCAGCAAGTCACGTTTGGTGGGGTGAAATATAAAGTGTGGGTACTCCTTGAATTTCCTCTCTTGGGAGATCTTCCATCAGCATCGGCTCAAGCAAGATATTGCAGGGCTGCACCTTTACCTACCTTTAGTCAAGGCAGGAGGTCACCGGCCGTTCAATCACCTCTCATTCTGTCATATTCCCTCCCCACTCACACTCAACACACACACACACTCAAACAAAGCTAGAAAGCTCCCCCGTATAGCCTTCACAGATTGTTGGGGCAAGTTCTGTTGGGGCAAGTTGTGTTAGCATGCACCTATGAGGGGGTGAGTAGCCAGCACCATCCCCGGCCGCCTTTGTCTCCCTAGTGGCAATGTTTATACACTACACCAGGTACTAATTTTGAGGCTGAGTCGACCTAGGGGAGGTACAGAACCGGTTCAGATAATTGTCACCGGTGTTGGCCGTGAGCGAAAATTTAACTCGGGTCGCCAGGTTCGTAGCATTGCACGCTCACCGTTGCACCACCACTCCCCACACACACTCACACACGGCTCCCGAGGGGACTCATGTTTCATGAACACGTCGTGTTCGCCATGAACTCCAGCCTGACCCTGAGCCACTGCCACTCTCTGACTTGGTGGTGCAGCTCTGCGGGTTTGTAATGCCCCCCCTCTTCCCCCAGCCCCTTCCCCACATGATTCAATTGTCACGACCCGGGGTTGCCATTAGATCCAATAATTGATTGCTATTTACCTCGTGTTGCATGTGGAATCATCTCTAGTGGCGGAAGAGTTGCGAATGAATCAATTGAAAAAGATTGATTCCCGCAATGCGATGAATGCACCATGTTTGTTGCGGTTGCACCCGATTCAAGAGCCGAATGGCTCACAGGGCTATACCAAATAAATGAAACTGAAAAAAAAAACTGAAACACACCTCAGGACGTTAATCCGTGAATCGTTGAATTGTAACTTGCCATGAGGCAGTCGAGAGTTATCAGTTTAATTTATTTTCCAATCTTTGAAAACCTTATCTCCATATATATAAAAGGCAAAGTTGTTAATATGTGTGTCTGTTCAAAATGTTTAGCGTACTTCCCGACATGCAACAAACTTGTAATTTGCCATGTGGATACTTTCCAGACTGTATACCATGCAAAAATTATAAAAATACACTTTAGTTTTTTTTTTTGGGGGGGGGGGGCGGGAGCTCAATAATGCATTTATTTTTTGCACGGCAAGTGAGCTGTGACGTCAAATCTGTCATGTGACCCACGCATGTGGAAACGTAACGCATTGCAGTGTAGTGGTTAGCGCGCTGCGCTACGAACCCAGCGACCCGAGTTCGATTCCCGCTCACGGCCACCACCGGTGATGATTAATTATTTTTACCGGTCCTGGGCCTCCCCTAGGTGTGTGACCATCGCCACTGGGGGGACAAAGGCGGCGGGCGTGGTGAATCCAAGTCCCAGGCGAAGCCGGGTAGTCAAGCTAGTCCTGTTATATACGGCAGTTGATGAAAACATCAGTGAATAAGTTACTGATTTTTGAGAATAGGTTTTCCCCTTTTTTCTGGCAACAAAACAGCTGTGTTAAGATGTTAAAACACCAAACTGAAACCTTTTACAAGGAATCAAGTCTGCACTATCCACAATACTTGTGGTCCGAATCCAAACAAAACACATAATCTGATATTATATTGCCATTGTCTTTGAATCTGATTGGTCCACACCAGAGACAGCTTTCTTTTCAGCCTCGTCTCAAAACGGTGTTAGACCAGAGGATGCCACAAGGCGAACAGCACAAAGACAATGCCACTATCAGAGTACCGAGAGCTCGGGGTGAGCATCTACATCATGGGACCTCCTTTGCCAGTACCAAAATGAGAATAGGTTTTTCCCTTTTTCTGGCAATGCATAATTATCAGAGTACGATCTTGATTTGAAGCTTTCGTGACTGCAGGAATCTATACTCTTTGGTTCTTTCGGTAAAGTCACGTAGGTAGAAAAAATCATGACGACTGCTTGCGTTGCGATTGAACCGTCGTGATCGATTGTTTGTTTATACCTACATGACTTTCCCAAAAGAACCAAAGAGTATCAGAGTACCTTTTTTTTGTTTGCATTCTAACCACAAGTATTGTGGTTAATGCAGACATGATCCCGACCCTGACGCCTGTATATTTGGAGTTTGCGTGTCTCTCTCTCCGTGGTCGTGTGTATTTTTCTGCGGGTCCTCCGGTTTTTCCCTCCACATAGAGAAACACGCGTTTAGGGTATTTGGTTGCTATAAATGTCCACATGATGAGGCACTTCGTTGAGCTATCATTTGTGGCCAGGTCGCTTCTGAAAAAGAGCTACATAGCTTAGTAGGCCTTACCTAGTGAAATAATTATAGTGTAAAATCAAATAGTTTATGGTGGTGTATTGACTGAGCACTCACCCTGAACGGTTATAGCGAAGACGTGGTTGAGGAGGGGGCGGGGGGGGGGAGGCACCCGCGGCCTGGCGCTGCCCTAATAGAACGTTCCCTGCGTGGCGCCGTAACCACTGCCGGTGAGACGGCGCCCCCCCACAACTCCACGCTAATGAAGAGAACCGCAAGTGGCGATAGCGTCTCACGGCACGAGCGCTGGGGAATGTGGCGCTTCACTCGGGGGCTGCCATGTTCCAGCCCCAATTGTTACATTTTTATGGCGCAAATTACCACTGAGTTGTGGTTGATGGTGATTCCTACGCTCCTTTATGCATTCTCGAAAGCCTGAATGAGTCTCAGGACTCATTTATAAGAGAGAGTCCTGTCGCTTGCCTGCCTGCCTGCGATGTTTGGGTATTTCTGTGTGTGTGTGTTTTCGTGCTCGTGGAAGTTACCAGAGAAACCCCACGTGTATGAGGAGAGATGGCGTGATGGTATTGACAAATCAGAATCAGAGATCAGAAACCTGACTGCTAGACTACCATCTCGACGCCTCCACCTCATAGCCCCGCAACTTAGGGTTTCCCGCATGTGATCTCCATGTGATCCACCATCCTTCCCTTAATGCTGGCCGTGTTCCAAGCCACGTGTTTTCAGTAATAATAATAGTGCTGCATCACTCTTCCTGTTGAACGTCAGCCCCCTTTATCACACAAGCCTTGGAAATACCTTTCTAACATCTGCCATTAATTGTAACAATTTACCCTAAGTCAAGTTGTTAATCTTATAGAGTTTTATATAAGGTTTCTGCTCAAGTAAATAAATTAATATTGAATAAAACCGTCAACCCTAGACCAGCGAATTATATTAAATACAGCTTGTAGCCCTCCCTGAAATGTGTAGGTTGTAAAAAAAAATCCAATCCCATTGTAGCCGCTGTCCAGCGTTCATGCCCTCTGCCGTTAAAAGTAAAAATATGTGGTTCTTATAAAAACAAGCCGGCCATTTGTGTCTTTAAGGTGATATTTTATCTTCGGCTCAGGCAGCTCAAGCTGTTTTGAATCTAACTTTATTTTTCTTGTGTAGTCATTTATGTAATGTGCTGTTTTTTTCAGTTCCCTTTTCTGAAATCCTGCCCCTCTTGTGCCGGTGTGTTTTCTCAATGAGAGTTAGAAAAGCATTAAAAAATAAACCTCGCTCTCTCACGTTTGAGCAAAAATATGTAATTGCAGCTCAGCTTAGGAAAAGAGTGGTGATTTAAAGCAGAGGTAAGAGACGGTGTGTATATTCCAGGAAGTGGTGCATGGCTTTGGGGCTCCGCAGCCCACATGTTAGTATTTTTAAAACTTTCAAAATTTGGCACAAATGATAAATTACTGTTGTGTGCATGGATGGCATCGTCCCATAGGGGCCAATACACATTTTTGGCGTGATTTTAATCAAAACATTTATGGAATTTAAATCACACGAAAGTGCAATTTTCTCATCAGGACTTAATGGTTAAGTTCCAATTAACTTTGTTTTTTTTTTACATTATATGACAACAATAGGGCCGCATAGCTTTCATGATATCTAGTTTAAGGCCACATTGCAGAAATGACACGGTGCAAAACAAACGGCTATTGTACATACACACCTCGGCGGTCGATTGCGTTCTGCATGACACAAGTTTGCAGCTTTGGTGTTGAGAAAAAGATTTTCAGCCGTACGACCATGGCACGGCAGTGGTGTCACTTCTGCGCCACTGTCGTACCTGTCCCGCACTACTCGGGTTGCCACCTGGCTTGGTTGTCCCATGATCTTCCTCTTGTTGAGGGAACTCTGTCAATCTTCACTGGACTAATAATATTACTGGACTAATAAAATCATAATAATATTAATTCTACACCACTCGAGACAATGCATTTCTGAACGCAGTTCCCCACCCTTCCAGCATTGTGACATATTCCTCTTGCCACGATGGGGATCCTGGTTTTTGTTGTTGCTTTAGCTCGAGCGGCAGGCACGTGGCTCTGAAGAGTGGGTGGTGGGGATGCGCCACATCGACGCGGCGTGCACATCACAGACTTGTGGAAACCGGGAAGTGTCGTGGCGACATGAGATGATGCCGCTCCGCCGCGGCACATTCTCGCTTTAAAACGACTCGCTTTTAAAGCAAACAAACTCAAATGAGTGCCGGGATTTTTGCCTTCAATCGTTACCATAAATCGTTGGAGTTTTCTTTTTACATTTATTTGAGACAAGTGTCTGCTTTCAGCAAAAGTGTTTTTATTAAACCTGCGCGCACGTGCTCTTGAGCCAAAGGTAGCGGTGCTTTTTATGAAAAGCGGCGAGAAAATGTTCTACGTTTGTGCAATAAAGTACAGTGTTGGCACGATTACACTTTTTTATTTTTTCAAAGAAACAAAACAAACTGTGCGGAGAGAGAAAGAGCTGACTACAACAGAGACAGCTAACTACAGCAGAGACAGCTGACTACAACAGAGACAGCTGACTACAACAGAGACAGCTAACTACAGCAGAGACAGCTGACTACAACAGAGACAGCTGACTACAGCAGAGACAGCTGACTACAACAGAGACAGCTGACTACAACAGAGACAGCTGACTACAACAGAGACAGCTGACTACAGCAGAGACAGCTGACTACAACAGAGACAGCTAACTACAGCAGAGACAGCTGACTACAACAGAGACAGCTGACTACAGCAGAGACAGCTGACTACAACAGAGACAGCTGACTACAGCAGAGACAGCTGACTACAACAGAGACAGCTGTCTACAGCAGAGACAGCTGACTACAACAGAGACAGCTGACTACAACAGAGACAGCTGACTACAACAGAGACAGCTAACTACAGCAGAGACAGCTGACTACAGCAGAGACAGCTGACTACAACAGAGACAGCTGTCTACAGCAGAGACAGCTGACTACAGCAGAGACAGCTGACTACAACAGAGACAGCTGTCTACAGCAGAGACAGCTGACTACAGCAGAGACAGCTGCCTACAGCAGAGACAGCCGACTACAACAGAGACAGCCGACTACAACAGAGACAGCTGACTATAACAGAGACAGCTAACTACAGCAGAGACAGCTGACTACAACAGAGACAGCTGAATACAGCAGAGACAGCTGACTACAGCAGAGACAGCTGACTACAACAGAGACAGCTGTCTACAGCAGAGACAGCTGTCTACAGCAGAGACAGCTGACTACAACAGAGACAGCTGACTACAACAGAGACAGCTGACTACAACAGAGACAGCTGACTACAGCAGAGACAGCCGACTACAGCAGAGACAGCCGACTACAACAGAGACAGCCGACTACAACAGAGACAGCTGACTATAACAGAGACAGCTGACTACAGCAGAGACAGCTAACTACAGCAGAGACAGCTGACTACAACAAAGACAGCTGACTACAACAGAGACAGCTGACTACAACAGAGACAGCTGTCTACAGCAGAGACAGCTGACTACAACAGAGACAGCTGACTACAGCAGAGACAGCTGACTACAGCAGAGACAGCCGACTACAACAGAGACAGCCGACTACAACAGAGACAGCTGACTATAACAGAGACAGCTGACTACAGCAGAGAGAGCGGACTACAGCAGAGACAGCTGTCTACAGCAGAGACAGCTGACTACAGCAGAGACAGCTGACTACAACAGAGACAGCTGTCTACAGCAGAGACAGCTGACTACAGCAGAGACAGCCGACTACAGCAGAGACAGCCGACTACAGCAGAGACAGCCGACTACAACAGAGACAGCTGACTACAACAGAGACAGCTGACTACGACAGAGACAGCTGACTACAGCAGAGAGCTGACTACAGCAGAGACAGCTGACTACAACAGAGACAGCTGTCTACAACAGAGACAGCTGACTACAGCAGAGACAGCTGACTATAACAGAGACAGCTGACTACAACAGACAGCTGACTACAACAGAGACAGCTGACTACAGCAGAGACAGCTAACTACAGCAGAGACAGTTGACTACAACAGAGACAGCTGACTACAGCAGAGACAGCTGACTACAGCAGAGACAGCTGACTACAACAGAGACAGATGACTACAACAGAGACAGCTGACTACAGCAGAGAGAGCTGACTACAACAGAGACAGCTGACTACAGCAGAGACAGCTGACTACAGCAGAGACAGCTGACTACAACAGAGACAGCTGACTACAACAGAGTGAGCTGACTACAACAGAGACAGCTGACTACAACAGAGAGAGCTGACTACAACAGAGACAGCTGACTACAGCAGAGACAGCTGACTAGAACAGAGACAGCTGACTACAGCAGAGACAGCTGACTACAGCAGAGACAGCTGACTACAACAGAGAGAGCTGACTACAACAGAGACAGCTAACTACAACAGAGACAGCTGTCTACAGCAGAGACAGCTGACTACAACAGAGACAGCTGTCTACAACAGATACAGCTGACTACAACAGAGACAGCTGACTACAACAGAGACAGCTGTCTACAGCAGAGACAGCTGACTACAACAGAGACAGCTGACTACAACAGAGACAGCTGACTACAACAGAGACAGCTGTCTACAGCAGAGACAGCTGACTACAACAGAGACAGCTGACTACAACAGAGTGAGCTGACTACAACAGAGACAGCTGACTACAACAGAGAGAGCTGACTACAACAGAGTGAGCTGACTACAACAGAGACAGCTGACTACAACAGAGAGAGCTGACTACAGTAGAGACAGCTGACTACAGCAGAGACAGCTGACTACAGCAGAGACAGCTGTCTACAGCAGAGACAGCTGTCTACAGCAGAGACAGCTGACTACAGCAGAGAGCTGACTACAACAGAGACAGCTGTCTACAGCAGAGACAGCTGACTACAACAGAGACAGCTGACTACAACAGAGACAGCTGACTACAGCAGAGACAGCTGACTACAGCAGAGAGCTGACTACAACAGAGACAGCTGACTACAATAGGCCTCGCGCCAAAGCCAACCTCACTCCCCCCTCTCCTCCCCACACAGAAGGGAGTGGAGTCTGAGTGGCAAGGTTTTCATTGTCGACTTCCAGATTCATCAAATAATTTAAAACATTCTCCGTGCGCGGAGGCACTTGGCACACTTGCCGTGCTTTTCCTCAAGCAAATTGCGCAACACGTTACCACGGTGATTTGGGGCCATTGTACAGTGAAATTATTAAAGATATAAACACTGATGGCCATAGATATTTTGTGGATTTAGTGGCATTTAGCAGCTGGCGAGAGAGGCTATTTTAACAGCCGAGGAAAGTGAACAAAAACCGTTGTTGTATTGTACTATGCTCCAACATCTTTGTTCCCCACCGTCACCAACCCGCACTGACCAGCGTGGTGAAGCCGTGTAACGCACACGAAGCCGGATGGCGCAGAGACCCCTCATCCTGTAGCGGATGGTCAGAAGGGCCGGGACGAGTGCACGAGTGGAGGTGGACGGCCACAGCGCTTTGTCTTGTTGTCTTCACTGTGCAACGCACTTTACTGCTCTGCCCCTCTTACACGCCTCCCCACTCCCCCGCCCTGTGCTCCTCCGCCACAGCGAGAATTCAGCGTGGTGTTCGACACGACACAACTCACGGGGAGCGAGGGCCCCTTAGAGTTCACCCTGCAAGCGAGAAGGTGCGTTCCCACAGCAGTGTGGGTTAAGATGCCAGCTTGTGTGTCTGTGTGTGTCTGGGTGCTCATGGCCAAAAACAGTGGTAAACATTTGAACCGGTCCTAGACCACCCCTAGGTCTACTCAGCCTTAAATAAGAGTATCTGGTGCAATGTGTAAGCATCAGCACTGGGGAGACGAAGACGGACAGGTGTGGTGTTGGGCATCCACCTCCTCATGTGCCAGTGGCGGTCTTCATACGTGCTCGCTAACAGCACTTGCCCCAACGGTCTGTTTTTGTCCTTGAGCAAGTGTGAGGAATGTGATGAGTTCACACATCCTTGGAAGTTCTGGACACAGTCCTCTCAACTGTGTCTCCGGCAGGCGACGTTGCACTGGTTGGATGATGTAACCCGCGTGGCCGGCCAATTACTCAATTGGGATTGTACACATAGCAATCATTTCCCCCTCCTGGAAGATTAGTACCCCAGGTCAATTGCAAATGAGACCATGCCGGTCTCCTGAGTTGTCACCTGTTTAAACAAAATAAACTTGAAGCTCGATCTCATGCAATTATACTGATGCCACAATTCTAATAAAATCATGAGAAACACAAAAATCACTGTAGCACTAAATCAACGAGGTGCGGCACAAGAACGCATTTTTATCTCTCAATGTCTTACATCTATTGTATTGTGTCTTGTTTTTTTTTGCGTTTGTGCTTTTTCATTATCCACCTTTGGTAGCTGGAGTCTCCCTTGAAACGAGAGACTCGGGCTCTCACGTGGTTTAGATAAAGACTTTTCCATTTGTCTGTGTTCTCACGGGTGCGCCAAGCCACCCCCCACCCCACGTTACTATCGCCGCTCAGCAACCACTTGCCCCCACCCCCGCGACCCCATCAACGTTTGTTTTTGCCGCCGGCCGCTCGGTAACAATTCTACCGCGAACAGCGACTTGTGCCGCTACTAAGACGCGGTGTTTGCGCGCGCGTGCGTGTGTGGACACAGCGCCAGCCCAGAGCACGCCTCCATGCTGGAGGACAACGACCTGGTGCTGCGCGTGCCGCTGCGGTTCCAGGTGGACACGACCATGAAGGGGTAGGGAGCGTCGCGCTTGCCCCACGGTGCCTCCGTCTGGGGGCCGCTGCCGCGTGTTGGGGATGCCGTGTTGGGCCTGGGGATGCCGTGCAGGCCTTGAGATGGGGAGGACCTCTCCCGGGAGTGTGGCACGGTGTGTGCGTGAGCACGGCGGGAGAGTGTTAGTGCACGTGGTGCGAGTGCACGTGGCGAATGAGCACGGCGAGTGCGTCTGGTGAGTGTGCGCATGCGGTGAGCGAGGCGGTGAGCTCTGCCTCTCCGCTCTACCAGGACGGTCAATCCACCCTCGTTCGTGTACGGAGGAGAGGCCACCAACAGCAGCCAATTCGTGCGACTCGACAACGCCGACTGCCTCTACCAGTGGATCAACTTCTCCCTCCAGGTTCTGCCATATATACCCCCCCCCTCCCCTGCATATTTTATTCGTTTGATGAATGGTGGAGGTGCCCGGGTGGCCACGGGGTGGTTTAGTCTGCGACACTCATTGCTGGGCACACGACGTGTTGTGCCCCTCACGTGGACATAGACGCCTACTGTTGAAGGGACCTCAGTGAGACGTCTTCTGAGACTGCTATCCTCCAACAAGTTGGTGTATCGTTTACTGATAGATTTCAGTGCAGGAATTACTTTGTTCCACGATATGACGCCGCTGGCATCATAGAGATAGGGGAAATAAGAACACAATGGAGCAAAGAAATTAACACGAGCCCACGCCTGCATCGTTCATAAACATTCAATATATTTTCACACTGCTCAACCTCAGTTCGTGCAAAGACTGGCAATGTTGTGTCTTACACAAACATTCATATTCGCCAGGTTTTAAATATTTAGATAACCGGTTTGAAATGGCCTCCTGCGCTTTGGTCGGTGGCTCGGTTCGGCTTGCACAAACGCCACCACGCCACCACGGCACGACGCCACCAGGCGCTCACCAAAAATCTACACGGGTCGCTCGCACGGTCTGGGCCCCTCGGAGCCGAGGGCCGGGCCCTGGCGGCCGGGAAGTGGCCGGAGCGGCCCAGACGCGGGGGGCCGGCACCGCCGCTGTCCTTGGCGTGGGCTGCTCGCTGTGAACATGCGCCAGCTCGTAGGAAAGCGACACATCTCCCACCGGTGTTTCCTGCGGGAGGCGGTCGCTAAGTGTTTCACCGAGTCTCCACCTGTCTAGCGCGGAACGTTGTCAGCGCTGTTGCTGCTGCCGCTGTTGTTCGCCCACCGCTTGTCCGATTTTCTTTGTTCTGGTGCATGCACGTGCGTCTTCCTGGAGTGGGGAGCCGGAGCATAGTGGTTACCGCACTGTGCTATGACCCTGGTGATCCGAATTCGATTCCCGGCCACAGAGACGAATATCTGAACCAGTTCTGATCCTGTACGTATGTTGAACTTCTTTCGCACGGCACGCAGCCAACCTTGCTCATTGGACGTGAGGTATTAGAATCCAATTACTTTGTCCCATGACAAAGTATATTATAGAGGTACGTGAGGGGAAATAAGAACACAATACACCGAAGAAAGTAAGACGAGCCCAAACCAAAAAGTCGACTCAACCTTAAATGAGTGCCTGGCGTTTCAGCATTGCGGAGACAAAGGTGGTCAGGTGCGGTAGCCGGCCAAAGCACAACCTCATGCCACCGTACCGGCCTTCACAGCTGCTCTTTACCAGTACTTGTCCCAATAGCTTATGTAGGCTATATGGGGGAGCTTTGTCTCGTGGTGCAGGGTGTGTGTCAGTCTGGTGGGAGGCTGTGGGGGAGGGGGTCGTGGCACTCCGCCAGAAAATCCGCTGACTCTGTTCCACGTTTCCTGCACCAAGCGGATTCTTTTTTTCTCTGCTCCTTTGATTTGGCGTTTTTGTTGTGCGTGTTTATTGATGTTTATAAATATCATTATGCTGAGCAGGGGATGTACTGGGATACTCTTCATGCTACATTTAACAGACTAATACTGCACTCTTTCTGCCATGTACGTCTTTAAATACTCACTGTGTGGTATTAGAATAATCTGATGAATCGTTGAAGGCCCGACTTAATGATGATAAAAACATAAAATAATACTTGATACAATTAAACATCCCATTACAGACCCCTGTGAAAAGTTTTTAGTCTCGGTGAGACTTCACTGCATCACTGTTGTTGTTTTATAAGTCACGGGCAACTGCGATGTATGCTACAAACTCAGATACCTGAGTTTGATTCCCAACCACGGTCAAAATCAGTCGTGAATGGAATCCGAGCCAGTTAGGGTTGCTCCCTGCTTCACTCGGGCAAAATGGAGATCTTTGTATTTGTGTTCCTATGTACGTACGTGTATGTCTGGGTGGGTATGTGTTTATTTGTGTGTGCGTTTGTATACAGCGATGTACCTGTATGTAAGTGTGTATGGTTACGTGTGTATCTGATCGTCGATTCTCCGGCATGCACACACAGGTGATAAACTTCGGGCCAAGCCCCCTGCCCAGCTCCAGCGTCGAAGTCCTCATCCCCAACGTCCTGACGGAGGATGGGCCGGAGCTCTTCCACGTGCGGCACATCAAGGTGCTCGCCTCAACACTCATCAACCCATCGCACGAGTACGCACACGGGCGCGTGCACAGCAACAGCCATCGCTTGCTACTAAGCGGCGGCGGCGACGTCACCACAGTGTGCCTGGCGAGGTGCACTTCGAGGCCACGTACACGCGACTTCCGGTTCCCATCTGCCCACGCACGCTCTGCGACGCGTGTTCGGGTCATACCACGTGCTTAATAGTCTCATCCTTTTTAGTTTTAGTGTCGTTTGGCACGATGTCCGACGTTTCGCCCCACATGCCGAGAGCATCTTCGAACAACCGGTTCCCGAAGAGGTTCCCAGCGCATCGTAGCCGATTCCCTGCGACACCCTACGCAGCGGCACCGCGCGCGCTCGCTCCCTCTCGCCACACGAGGGGACGCTGGGCGTCAAGCCGTCACCGGCATGGGAGCGGCGTGCCAGCGCGCCGTTTGGATTCGCGGCGAGCTTCCGGCGCGAGAGAGACCGGCGAACGATGCAGCGCATCACGTTTTGGCTCCGTGGGCTAAGGGGGTGGGCCGGCGGTATGGATGATGAAGGGGGCAGGTCGCTGGCGGAGTGATGCCCCCCCCTGCGTCAGTGCTGCTCCAGGTGCTCCGAGGGACCGTGGCGAGGCTGCGTCTTTAGACTTCGGAGCGCGCAGTATGCGCACACAGTTGCGGTGTCAGGTGACAGATCAGAATACAAACTCAGAAAAACAAGTTCAGTGCTGCAGTACGTGCAGTGCAGTCTGTGTTCGCTAAACACAATTAGCAGATGTGCATTTTAAACGCAGAAGGCCGATTTTTACAACTCATCTGGATAGCCTCTGTGAGAAAGCTTTGCCAAAAGCGTGTATCCCACAGGGCCCTTTAACAATTCTAAACAAATACGGAAAAAAAACTGAGTAACCCTTGCACTCAGATGAGAAATGTGAAGAGCTCCACTCTGTTGGTGATTCTGATGGTTGTAATTCCACACTTCTATCGTAGTTACCAGCAGTGTAACTATATAGCGAAACCAGCGCTTACAGCTACTTGGCACAGAGGGTTCACGCTAGCTTCGTTGGCTTTAACAACCGGCGAGTGTCGTTTATTTCACAGCCGTGAGGTTCTGCCGCATTTGAGGATCGCGTCGTTTCTCATGCCCGCCGCTGTCTCCGTGCCGCGCGTGCCGCCCCTGCCGACAGATCAACAGCGCCAACGGGAAGTGCTTCACCAAGGTGCCCTCGCAGATCTGCCTCGTGCCGCACGACTCGGGCAGCTTCTTGCGCACACTTTTCACCATCTTCAACAAGTCCGGCCGCAAAGTGCTCGTAAGTCCCCTTATACCTTCCTGATCGCCCGTGGGGACTTGTGTATATGTTGTATGCATGTTGTATGTTGAATTTCTTTCGCACCTAGGCGGCCCGACTGGGATCCTGGGTTCAGATCCAACCACCGCAGTCGATGGTCTCAGTCCAGTAAACAATTGCTGCACAAATCATCCATCATATATATCTGAGGACTGAAAAAAATAATATTACCATTTGACAGGCATGAGAAGAACACCTCCAGAGCTGCAGAAAGTGGAGCACTGCCCCGACTGCGAATGAGTGGAAATCGAGGATCTCATATGTAGTTCTGTGATATCAACTTCCAGAGGGCACGCTCCATCATGGGGGGTGTTTAACACATTTTTTCCCAATAGTTTCAAATGTAAATGTGTTCCTCTGATGGTGATGCTGACAAGCACAGTTGGTAATTTTTTGGGATAAAAGAATACATACCACGTGAGTTTGGAGGCCGTAAATTGACACCACTGGGCATTCGAGGGGGAAAATCAGTTTTGGGATCAATTTATTTCATAAAATGAAGTTTATATTTTCTAAACATTTAGGTCTGGTGGGGGTATTGGGGTGCCACTTTGCCCCCAGACCCCCACCCCGCCATGTCCGGGTTTCTCTGCCATTTGTTAATAAATTATGAAATGACGACAGTGGACCGCTCCCAATCGTGTCCCAACAACACTGAGATCTTTTCTCCAGAAATGGAAAATAAAGGACTTGAATGTGGTTATTAGCACAGTTGACTATGTATGACACACATCACTGATGACTGCCCACCACAACACGCATCCTCTGGTGCAACAAGTGGACTCCACCACCAGCTACCACCCCGGATGCTGCTGTAGCATGCCTTAAAAATACAATTGTAGCCCTGTTGCTTTTCTCAAACGCCATGCGGCAGGAGAGTAAAATGTAATAATGGTCACGAGGCTCATCGTCTCCATGAGCCGATACAGCATCGCCGGTCCGCCGCATCTCAGTGGGCCATTCCCTCCCCGTGCACCGCAGGACTGCGCATGGCGGGGCGGCTGCCTGGTCGTCGGCTGTCAGCTGGGGAACATCGACAGTGGGAACTCGATCTCCATCAACGTCAGCACCCTGCTCAACACCAAAATCCTGGAGAAGGTAAGCCACGGCCCAGCATAGCGTTTGGCTGCACCATCGCCACCCCTGCATGGGTGAAAAAAATTGGTCGGTCGGACTGACGGCGTCTCACCGTGGCATTCACGTGCAATTGCTCCCTGACCAAGAAACGCAAATTACATCTCTCTGAGTTGCAGTCTTAATTGCTCGGCATGCTAAGGCGCAGCCCTGCAATGTCTTTGCTTTTGGCACTGCTCCAGAGAGCTCCTCTAGTGGAGGCCCTTACATCTCGAGAGAGCTCCTCTCGAGGATATTTGGCCTCCACTTGCACACTGACCAGACATCTCGGAAGGTACGGACAAACCAAGCCCAAATAAAAACCACTTCACGATCACCACCACTAATGATTGCCCACATGTTTAAAGTGTCTGCAATGTGCGCTCCGGAACGTGGAGCTGCAAGGCATGTGAAATGTTCGACGTGGCGGGCGCGTGAGTCAATAAAAAAAAAACACGCAATGTGGAGCGGGGGCATTCACGCCTGTGTGGGGGCTGTGCCACTGCAGGACAGCTCGTCGGTGATCCAGTTCCTGGTGGACGCGAAAGTGCACCTCAACCACAGCCTGCACATCTATGAGGCACCGGGGGGCAACCCAGACGGCACCACGGTGAGCGGCGGCGCGTGTATGTATGTGTGTATGTGTGTGTGTGTGTATGTTTGTGTGTATGTATGTATGTGTGTATTTATGTGTGTATGTATGTGTGTGTATGTTTGTGTGTATGTGTGTATGTATGTGTGTATGTATGTATGTGTGTATGTATGTGCCTTGAACCTCTTTGACACCGTACGTAGCCAACCGCGCTAATCGGAGGTGCGGCGGAAGGACAACAAACTAAACACTAAAAGCTGTTCTAATGAAATTTGTTTTTAATCTAGATGATATAAAAGTTAATAGCTCCAATGGCTTCCTAATACCAGAAGGAAGAGTGTTCCAGGCGGCCGCAGAAGTACATCTGAAAGCGCGCAATGCGGTGCCCGTCTTTGTTCGATGGTTAGCCAAAAGCCGCTGCTTTTGGCTATGTCCAGCACAGTCCTGTCCAGCACAGTCTTGTTTACGCAAGAAAGCCCTCCCTGAGTCTCATTACCCTTCGTGAGGAGGGGCCTGCCAAGTTTTCACAGCAGGGAGCAATGCTGCTATGGCGAAGTGGTAAAACTTGTGCATCACAGCAATAAGTTCGTCTCGGGCCCTTCTCTGTGTGGACTTCATCTGTTCTGAATGGGTTTCCTCTGGATTTTCTGGTTTCCTTCCAAAGCTAAAAACAAATCAAAGTAAATGGTATTGGCCAAAACATCCCAATGCTGATAAATAGCCTGCAAATAACACAGAGGCTTTCGCGACCAATATCATCCATAATACCTGCAAATTACTCACAGCAGCAACACGGTTGCCCTCTACTACGAAAACTTGACAGGGCCCTCTTGAACAAGAGTATTGGGTTAAATATTGTAGTGGTAGTAGTAATAATATAGTAATGTGTGTGTACGCTTCAGGTGGTGTTTGAGGCCCTGCACGACCTGCGTCCGCGTGGCTACGTGGCCGTGTGGATCATTGCGCTGAGCCTGCTCATCGGCATCCTTATCTTCATCCTGCTTGCTGTCGTGCTCTGGAAGGTGTGGCTCGACGGGGCTCTCGCCCGCTTGATGTTGCGTGTCCCAGGCTGTCCCGCACGAGGTCAAACCCTCCTTAATGAGGAGGAAAAGAATACTTTAGTATTAATTAAGTGTTAACTTGAAGCTTTCGTGACTGCAGGAATTCATATTCTTTGGGTCTTTCAGTAAAGTGACGTAGATAAGTTCAAAGAAAATAACAAAAAACTACGACGTTTCGATCGCAGAAAAAAATCGTAGTTTTTTTTGGTTATTTTCTTTGAACCTCTCTAAGTCACTTTAGGGAAAGACCCAAAGAATATCAGTCAGGTGCCCGGTCATGGTGCTGCAGTGATACGATTGCATCGGTGTTGTATTCAACCATCTGGGGGTGACGTCAGTGGCATCATCACTCCAGTACCATCGTGGCAATGGTTAATGACAAATGGGATGAGTTTTTTTTATGCACAACTGCTAGGGGCAGACCCTTCATTGTTATGATAATTATTATTTTTATTTCATCTAACTTTAAAAGTTGAGCTCCTAAACTCTCTAAAGATGGCAACAGTGGCATTAATGTGCACACAGCAGATCCAATACCGGGTCTGTTCAGAAAAGTTTCTCATGGGCGATGCAAGAAAATGAAACAAATCCGAAAGAACTATGAAAGGAATCCCAGGGTATTCACGTACGATCCCGACTGTTGAAGCGCGACACGAGTCAACCTTGGAAATGCCGCGGCAGCGCCTCGCTTTGTAAGAGTATCCGCGGCGGCCGTGCTCTTGATCTCCCATTGATGACGAATCCATTTGTCGTGCCGCGTGTCGTGGGTCTCGCTCAAGCCACGTGCGGCGCAGCAGCAACCGAGGCTCCCTGCGTGGAGGCCTCCCTAATGCCGGAGAGAAATCTGCAGATGCCAGCTTCTTTACATCGTCTCGTTTTATTTCCCATGCCCACAGCTCGGCTTCTTCAAGCGCTCGTACAAGGAGAGGATGCAGGCGAGCAAGCAGGAGAAGGAGAGCCTGGACTGAGCGGCGCTGTGGGGGAGTGGGCGTGGCAGCGCCGTGGCCACGAGTCCCCGGCGTCGTTGAAGCGTGGTCCCGCGTCGCCCACGCAGCCACAACCGCTGCACGGCGTCGCGGGCGACGCGGGCAACTCGCCCGCTCTCTCGTTCGGCCACCAGCACAAATCACAACCGACCGCGAGAGTGAGCATGGACCCAGAGGAGGTCTGGCGATCGCAGCCCCTCGCAGGAGAACAAGTCCGCGGCGCATCCTGAGTGCGTCGCACAGGTGCCGACATTCCGCAGGCTTCTATCTTTGCGCGACCCCTCGCAAGCCAATCAATCCTCCTCCCTGCTCAAGCTGCAAAAGCCGTCGTGGCCCCTTGCCATCGGGTCATCCTCCTGACAAATAAAATGCGGCGTGCGATGACGCAGCATCTCTGCTTGTGATGACCACAGCGCTCGTCAACTTGGAGATCCTCCTTCGCGGCGAGGGGAGTGCGTGCGGCTGCATTTTGTGAATTCCCGGCGGGGCGAGTGGATCCCACGGCAGAGCCTCCTCTGAGAGTTCATCTGAACGACCTCGTAAACTTCTGGCATCCGAGACGATGATGAGCGTTCGGGTTTGATAGACACAGTGTATATTTTTTCAAGAGGACATTGGGAAAAGTGCTGCCTTTTTGCGTGAAATGAATTCACTCTGTTAATAAGTTAGAAGGAGGCGTTGAACGATGAAATAGATGGTGACGCCACACGTGGAACTGATGTGCTCACCCTCGAGAGCTGAGCGCTAATCTCCACTTTTCTCATGGAAATCAGAAGAAGATGTTTTCCGTGCCAGATGCAACTCTTGGCGGAGCACAGTGCCTTTCCGGACACCGAGCAGAGACCATCGTGTGTTTATTCAAAGCCCGCGTGTGACGAGTTATTTTGAAGCTCTGCATTTTCATTTTTGGTGCTGCCCATCAAACCGAGCCTTTGTCCAGTTAGCAATAAAACTAAGCATGTTTTATTTACACGGTGAATAAAACTACACGGGCAATAAAAGCAACGAGCTCAGCCGATTTGACCCACGAGCACATTCGCTCCGCACGTGGAACAATTTATCAGTGAGGCCTTTTCCATCCTCCACCCATGGCATTTCCGTATGCCGCACGTCCCCTCCGACGGACGTTGGGGGTGCACGGAGGCCTTCGTGAGGTCTGCCGCTCCCGCACTGGGAGAGCCGCCGTGCCTCGGCACTCTACGTGATGCCGCCACCGTGTCGCACGATGCTGTGCACCGAGCCGTGCTGTACCGAGCCGTGCTGTACCGAGGCCTGCTGTACCGAGCCGTGCTGTATCGAGCCGTGCTGTACAGAGCCGTGCTGTACCAAGCCCTGCTGTACCAAGCCGTGCTGTACCGAGCCCTGCTGTCCAGAGCCGTGCTGTACCGAGCCGTGCTGTACCGAGCCCTGCTGTACAGAGCCGTGCTGTACCGGGCCGTGCTGTACAGAGCCGTGCTGTATCGAGCCGTGCCAGCTAATCTGACCGATGCTGGCACCTCACCAACTTTGCCTCCAGTTGCCGTCGTAATCCACTGGCGTCGTTGCGATAGCGAGCATTTCCGTTCGCGAGGTCTCGAGACCTGAAAACAGTGCGTTAAATGAACATCCACGTGAATTTTTGTTGTTTATATACATATATATAAAGCAACTCAATCAATGAATGCCAAATAGTGTAACTGCTGTACAGTGCGACGATTTTGCAACAACATTCTCTGTTGACTTTTGTTCGCTTTACAAGTTGACCACTGTGTGGTGGGGGTTAGGATTCTATGAAAATTCGCAAGTCTAGCGAGGACGTCCGCTCGGAAGGTTCCGCTGGGGGGGGGGGGGGTACGATGAATTTAAACGTTCAGCAGAAACGCAGAGTAACGGAAGTTCTTGCGATTCCCACTGGAATTTAGAATTCTTTCTGGGGTCCCCGAGCACATGTTGTGGAATCATTGTGAAATATTTGTGAGGGGCTGTTGGTGTGAGGAGGAGGGGGATGTGCGCTGACATTGATCTGCCCCAGCTGACTGCCCGCTCGTCAAGGGGAGAATCGCCCTTTGCGGAGTTTGTTGTGGAGAGACCCGGATCGAGACACCCAAATCGCCCTTCACCAAATAATTTCTTCCAACGTGACTGCAGTAAATTGCCTCTTTTCTGCACAACAGTGGCAAATCACTTTAAACAATTATAAGGTGTTTTAAAAAAAATAGTACAAATATGTAAAAACCCGTTTATTAAAGACATTTAGACAGTGTTTGTATAGTGTGGCACACGAGTGTAGTGTTTTTTACAAGTTTTATATTCACACACACACGCAACTGTACCATAGCTCTCACCGCATTGCCGGACTCACTGTGGCCAAGAGATGAATGCGTTTTATTTTTGGCTCAAGTGAAAGAAAGCTTCCTGCGTTTGAGATTCCGAACGTCTCGTTGAATGTAGCCAAACACAGAGAATGAGCGTCACAGCAGCGTTTGAATAAATGAAAACTTCCAGACGCCTTCATTTGTCGTTGCTTTTGTGTGCCTGCACTGCTTTTTGCTGCACAACTTCCCGATGAATCCTCCAGGATATGATTCTCGTTGGAAATCTACACAGACATTTAGTATTGTACACCCGTTTCATTATAAATACATCCTTTCTCGTGTTTATTTTTCAAGTAATATGTTCTTGAACCAGGTGAGAACTCGAGAGACCAGGATGAGTCTCGTTTGTAAAAGATAATAAGAAAAATCAAAATAAAAGCTCGCTGCTAAAACATCCGACACAATGTAACCGGTATTGGCCAAACAACCCAATGCTGAAATATTGCACTGCAATCACAGTATGGCACTCGATTGCATGTACGTTGACCTTCTTACGCGCCGTACATAGCCAACCATGCTAATGAGAGGTGTAGGGGAAGGGCAACAAAACTGGACACAAAAACATTTCTAACAAAAATAAAAATCAATTCAGATGTGAAAGTGCCGAGCTCCGGTGGCTATGCACGATTGGTATCGGATAGAGCAGCAACATTGTACGCAGCCCTCGTGCGGAAACTTGGCAGGACCCTCCTGAAAGAGTGACGAGACTCAGCGATGCTTTCCTGGATAAACAAGCATCACAAAACTGAAGTAAATGATCAGAATCTATAAATGGATCAAGCCCATTGGATGCTAGTTCAGTGTCCTCAGACAGGATAAACCAACCAGAATCTCCGCCCAGGAATCCCACCACGTAAGTAGACATCTCTCCAACACCGTTTTTTTTATATGTTACCAGGTAAGGCCCACTGAGTTATGGAGTTATTTTTCAGAAGCGACCTGGCTATCACAAATGATCGTTCAACGAAGTGGCTTATCACGTGGTAAAGTATCGCAGCCAAATACTCTAAACGCGTCTTTCTAAATGTCGAGGGGAAAACCGGACGACCCGGAGAAACATCCGCTCGACCACTAGGAGAGAGAGAGACGTGCAAACTCCAAATACACAGACGTCAGGTTCGGGATCGAACCCACGACCTCCTCCATACGAGACGAGGTAGTTCACGTCTCGCCACCGTTCAAGCGGACGTCGAGGGGCCGTTGGTAAGTACGCTCAGATTTATATTTAAACACCGCTCAAATGTATATTTAAACACCACTCTAACGTAAGCTATGAATACACCGTAATTTCTGCAGATGTGACGATGCATCTGTTCATTAATTTATATTGATTTTCATAGACTCCCGAAAGACGTTGAATAATCGATCCTTTTCGTTTCCTATGTCTTACGCACTGGGTTTGATATTCGGTTCCCATGACCCCTGCATAATTCACCAGTGGCCGGTTGCAATCACCGCAGTGTTCACAATTGAATCGATTCTTAACAATAAATCGCGACCGTGAATCGCTACGTTTCATGGGAGAACCGTGGGGTGGGGGGGGGTACGCTCCACGTTGGGGAGTTCCTGCAGCGAGGTTCGGGGTGGAGCGGTGGTGCGAGTGGTGCGAGTGGTTCACGCCCAGCTGCACCTCGAACTGGCTCATGGGCCAAATCACATTTCTGGCCACAGCCTACATCAGTGGTGAGCGATCTCTTAATCAGTGATGTGGTGTGGCGGTCGAGAACCTTGATCCAGAAGTGAATTAAAAACTGAAGTGAGGTTCATCACACGGTCTGACAAAGTAGGGCCGGGTCCATCCCCATCGAATACATGAAAAGGTTGTCGCCCTCATTGCACACACAGAGTGCTTGCCACAAATGAATCACAAATACCTCGCTGATCTTGTCAAGGAGCATCAACTAAGGAGCGACTTTGGCTAACAATCGAATGAAGACGGTCAATGCATCGTGCACTCTCAAATGCAATTCTGTGGCCGTCTGGAATACTCTTCCTTCCGATATTAGGAAGTCACTGGAGCTATGCACTTTTAAATCATCTAGATTTAAAACGAATTTATTTAGAACTGCTTTTTGTGTTCCATTTCTTGTCCTCCCCAGCACCTCCGATCACGGATGTCTACGCAGTTAGCACCCGACTCCCTCGCTACATCTCTTCTCACTTCTGTATCCCCTCCATCAGTCTGGTTTCCGTCCGCTCCATTCCACCGAAACCGCTATCCTCCACATGCACAACCACTTGGCTCACCCACGTCACTCGGCCTTTCATCTGTCCTCATTTCGCTCGACCCGTCCGCGGCTTTCGACACCCGTGATCACCCCATCCTCTTGTCCACTCTGTCTCACCTCGCTATCTGTGGCATCCCACTTCATTGGCTCCGCTCTTACCTCACTTCCCGTTCATCCTCTGTCTCTTACAACCATGGTTCCCCCTCCACCGTCACGGCCGGCACCCCAGGGTTCTGTGCTGGGTCCTCTCCGATTCTCCCTCCACACGTGCCTCTCGAGCTCATCCCTTCTAATTGTCATCTCTCGTATCGTCTATTTGCCGATACGAGAGACCCTTCCGACCACATCTCATCTTGCCTCATGTCCATCCAAATATGGATGGACATAAAATGTCCTTTCCCTTCATCCTTCTAAAACCACCGTGCTCTAATTCTAGATTTGAAGCTTTCGTGACTGCAAGGATTCATACTCTTTGGTTTTGTTCGGTAAAGTCACGTAGGTAAAATAAAATAAAACAATAACCGTGCTCTACTTTCCCCCCTCCCGCTCTCCTCCCCCCTCTCTACATTTCCCCCCGCTCAGTCTCACTTCGATGGCTTCTGTCCAAATTCTTGGCGTCACCTTCGATTCCTCATTTTCCTTCACTTCCCACATCGCCACTCGCACGTGCCGCTTCCATCTTTTCAATGTAAGGAAAATTCGCCCCCTCGTCACCATCACCGCTGCAAAACTTCTCGTGCACCCCTTCGCCTTCACTCGTCTGGATTATTGCAACTTCGCTCCTGGTCGGTCTCCCTGCCAACGCCCTCGCCCCTCTACAACAAAATCTAAACTCGGCTGCACCCACCGCCGTCTCTACCCCCCCCCCCCTTCACCTCTCATTGCTCCCTTCTTCTTCTATAACTTCACCGGCTTCCTATTTATCACCACCGCCTCTTTAAATTGCTCACCATCGTTTTCAAAGCTTTGCATGAACTGCCCCCACCCCCTTACCTCTCTTCTCTCATTTCCTTATACGTCCCATCCCGCCCGCACCGATCACAAGCTGCCTATCTGCTTGCTGTAACTCCTCCGCCCTGCGCTCAATCTCACTTTCACTCCTTCTCTCTGCTTGCCCCCTTACATTGGAACAAACTCCCTCTCCACATCCGACTCTCCCCCACGCTTTCCTCTCTTCTCTCTGCTGCCTTTTACCTTCTCTCTTCCACCACCCCTACCAGCACCACCTAACGCCCCTAACGCCTCCACCACCGCAGCGTCCACCTCGCTCCCTCCACCCTCGTCACTACCCGATCCCCATCCCTTACCTTGCCATTTTATACCGTCGTCGGTAAGCATTGTCAAGCGCCTTGGTTAAAGGCGCCTTATACATCCAACATAGAATGGAATACATAGACGACCCATTAGCGAAGGGCATTGGCCCCTCGCTATGGCAGCCGCGACCCGTTGCGTGCCTCGATCTGGCCCACCGGCGGTAGGGACACGAGCCCTGCTGAGCGGTCTCCGTTGCGTGCATCGACGCCACGGCAGCTGTTGTAGTCGCACCCCAGAGCGCCATTTAGTGGCGCAGCCGCTCGCTAAAGAGTTTCCTCGTGAGCGGTACCGAAATAGAGCTGTGGCGGAAACCACGACAGCGATCATTCTGACAACGCTACATGGGATCCGGTCATCCTTAAAGAGCCCCAGAGAATCCCCACGAGTTGGGAATTCCTTTATGAACCCGTGTAGGGCATTTCGCAGATATGCTGCAGGATGTTTCTTCTATAAAGGACGATGATAACAGTGGCGCTAATTTCGCACGTGATCGCCAACTTGTGGCTCTTCGTCCCGAAATGTGTGGCCTAATGGACAATGAATGCAGCTGGCTTCATCCCACTGCTATTCCAGCGGTTGTTATTGCTCACTCGAATGCACCTGCATCCTATAAGCCAGATCCACCACACCCACAAGCCAAGCTCGTCTAGCCAGTGGAGGCAGCTTCACAAAGCTCGCCAGCCTTACCAACCTCACCAGCCCAGCCAACTCCACCAACCCCTTCAGCCTCATCTCCCCCACCAATATTACCAACTTCGCCACCCCTACCAGCCCCACCAACCCAGCCAATTCCACCAACTCTCAACAGCCCCCACCAGGCCAGCCATGCCACGCATCTCATGGGGATGCCTCAGAGAGCCCCTCAGGTGTTTCCTGGGAGGTTTTGCTCGACCGCTTCCTGCCGCTGCCGCCGCCGCTGCTGCCCGTGCACCTCGTGACCCCCGCTTCCCGCCCGGGGGCGCGCCCGGCGCTCACGCGGGAGAGAAGTCCGCGCCGCGCCGCTCATCTCCCACACGCAACGCCTTTCCTGCGGGGCTCCATCGCGGTGAGGAGGAGGAGTGGGGCAGCCGCTGCCCACGCTCGGTGTCTTCCTCAGCACGGGGTGCAGCATTTGCCTCGTCATCTTTTTGATGGGACGTTCATTGACCAGGACTGTTTCGCGTAGAGTAGCCCTCAACTTAAGTCTCAGCTGGAAGGCTTAAGCAGAGCATTCGCAATAATGTTACAGGAAACGTTAAATTAATTATTAAAGTAAACTTACATTATGCCAGGTAAGGGCCACTGAGCTATATAGCTCTTTTTCAGAAGTGACCTGGCGACAAATGATAGTTCAACGAAGTGGCTTGTCACGTGGAAATGTATAGCAGCCAAATACTCTCAACGCGTGTTGACAGATGTGGAGGGAAAACCCGGAGGACCAGGAGAAAAATCCACACGACCACGGGGATAACATGCAAACTCCAAATAAATAGACGTCAGGTTTGCGATCGAACCTGCGACTTCCTGTACACCAGGCGAGGGAGTTAACATCTCGCCACCGCGGCGCCAGAAAACTGTAACACGCCACAGCATCCACTCGCTCTCGTAGAGGAG